TGACCACAACCTTGAGCAAATGTATGTTTCAGAGTAAGTTTAATACATGCAATAATAAAATTTTGCTGACGTCTATTCCAACAAAGTAAGCGAAAATCGAGGTAAAGTGTACAAGTAATCGATACAGTCTGGTCCGCTGACTCCAATGAAAAATGAATAAAATACCAATGAAAACAGATAAGTAAAACTCACAAAATGGCAGAAGGCACCTCATTGATCACAACACACTTGGTAAAATATCTTTTCCCACTTTCTCCATATATGTAAGCAACAACATAGCCGCCGTAATTTCGATCGCGTTCTACCGGTGCCTACAAGCCACTTTCACTGCACATAATAGTTCTTGCTCATTATAATAGCTCCAAAACCAGTCGAGGAGCAATTACCTGTAGTCGAAGCCCAATCGATGGCTTGGGCAAGTATTGGTGAAATTCATTGATCACGTTTCTGAACCTTTTGCAAACACATCGCAACCGATACAGCTTCTAAACAGAACGGAAAGATCGATGTAGATGTACAGTTGAAAAATTTAAACAGCGAAGAACTTGCTTTAACTGCAATGATTCGACGAGCTCCAAAGGGATAGTTCGATTGTGACGCTTGGGTAGTGTATTGGGAAGGACTGGAAACGTAGTCAAAAATCTTCAACAGAACGTCGTCCGGAAGATCAACGAAGTTAATGGTCTGAAAACTGCTTTCAAAAACCGCTTCACTTGATTTGGCCTCGTAGTGAATGTAAGATTTCAAGATAGCGACCACGTAACCTCACTTGACCGTTTCTTTATACAAAACTTGTCCGCGAAGAAAACACACACCTGAAGGAAATCATCTGAAGGAGATCTATACCTGTTTCTTTTCTGCGGTTTCCGCTGCTTTCTGGTTCTGCTTGCCACTTTGCTTCTTGTTTTTGTTATTTTCTTGGAAAAGCTTCGAGATCAACTCTGCTTGTTCAAATGTTGCACGAGGATTGTATACCCGCATTCTTCTAAATCTCTGAGACCAATGGCCTAAAACGAATGCACGATGGATAATGGTAGTAAAGTGCATTATGGGAGCTTGGATGGTTTATGCAGAATGAATCTCAAACATGCGAATTGGTTATCACTTCGCAATCAGAAACAAGCATTATAATAGCTCAAAAGAGCAGATATAAGCAAAAGACGCAGTCGACATTACTTATCCATCTTCGTCATTTTATTGCTTCTGCGTTCGAGGAAAAAAAAAGAAAAGGCGGATTCTAGGAGTTTGAGGGTTCAATTACATTGCTAATTTTGCAACTCAACAAGATATTAAGTAAGGAGTACCCTTTATTGAAAAAAAACCTTCAGGAAAATGATGAGAAGCGCATAAGAAATGTGAGGCTTTCCAGCAAACACCACACTGCATAACGCTCCTCGCTTTCAGCGCGTGATGAAACTGTTAGCCCCTTATGCTCTTTCAATTCAATGACTGATTGATGTACTCCCAAACAGCTCTATTTCAAATCCCACAGTATCTGTTGTCACTTCTTACCTCCGTATTGTCTAATTCGCTCTCTCCGAAAATCGAAACACGGGAAAATCCGGTCCACTACTATATAAACCTTAATTATATAAGATCACTTTCATGTTAACGTTTTCCATTCTTTAACGTCCCTTCCTATTTTCTAATGTTGTTTATACAGCTTCACAGAACGCTTTCCACAGAACCTACAACATATATATCCATCTATAAGGATGGATCTATAGAAATATTCGCCCAAAAGTATGTAGTAAAGCTCACCGTCAGATCAGGACCCTATGACACTGTTCAAAAATAGAGAAAAGACCCCTGCCTAACGATGAACACTAGCTAACCACTGAACACCTTACAGAAAAGGTTTCAAACCTCTCGACGTTAGGTTGGACCTAATCAAAAGTATGCAGTGTCATCAGCCTTTTAACACATGCGATAGCGAACAACAGGAGGAAACTCACCGAATTGGCGGTTTTAGCTGACTAAGGCGCTTTCTACCATATTTTCGAAGCATATAAAACAGGCGAGGAGGAAGAGGCTGCTGAAAATCGAAAGTGACTCGAATTTTTAATCCAATTAACATAAATAAAATCCACACTACGTCTTACCGGTTCTACTCACAGAGTTTTCGAAACGCCGTTAGTGAATACAACAAAGATAAGAAATTGTTAACATATATGATTGCATCTTCAATTTGGCGGGGCGCAGTGTTTGATATGACATACTCCAGGCACAGTGGTACATCAGAACACATGTCTAGGTTAAACAGTTTACTATTGACTTTGAATGAGAAATGCAGTCTCAGAAACTTTAAGGCGTCAAAAGTGCCTATAACGCTAGTACAAATAGGATCGTAGAAATTCTTACTCAAAAACTCTAATTTCCTCACTGGAGTGCTTTACACATTGGGCTAAGTCCACTGCTATTATAACTCAGTCCTGGGTACCATGCGTACGCTAGTAAAGTAGCTGCCTCACCCCACCGTCTGGACTGCCTTACACCCGAGCAATCACGTGATAGGTCCTCGTACTCGAAGAGAACCTGTGCGCAGGGGAGTGTAGGCCAGTTCCTAGTGGGGTGGGGGAAGTGACTAAAGCAGGGCATGCTATGCTTATTAGTACGAATGGTTACCGGACTGAAGTTATACACATTCGGCCTTACTATTGCATCAAGCTCTTGTATATAAGATGATTAAGAAGTTCCAATCATTAGTTTCAGAATAAATCGCTGTCCCCTTTGAGTCAGTGAGGTGTTTTACACAACATCTACTTTAATCCAAATAATTGTCCTATGTTTGAAAACTTAATGAAGAGCGGACCGACTAAAATGCTCTTACAATGAAGCGGGCGGTGAGGCATTCAAAGGACCATTATCTCCGTTAGATTCGGCATTGGGTGACCTTCCCTCCCTAAACGCCGAATTTGAAAGGACGGCGGCATTTTGGTCTGATATTTAGTCATAGATGAAGCACGTCTGGGTCCAATAAGGACGAGAAATAAGCGGTATTTCCACACTTAAAAGCCGCTGCTGTCCACCCCCCCCCCCTTCACGAAACCCACTAGAAAATATTTTTCTTGAGCATTCAAATAATGCCAAATTGAAGAATGGTCGTAGCAGACCCACCAAATAAGTTCTAGTGCACGTATGAAGAAATAAACATCAGAATTAACGATCCCTTGCTACAGACGATCCCTTCAACTCGACTCCGCCATCCCCTTTCCATAATTCTTTGCTTTCTTAGCCTGCTGTTTCGCAATCGCGTTCACATTTAGACGGCTATGCAAACGCAGGAAAGTGAAGGAAAGCGCTCTTGTTGAGAGAACCAAGTTATGAATGGACAAACCGGTATGTTCGTTCTACGCATGCTTGCAGGAAAGACTCAAAACGCGGAGAAAGACAGAGAAACAAAGAAACGATGACATCTGCAAGGACCGATAAACATTACACCACGGACATTGAAGGCGATAGTGAGCATGTGTGTGACATCTCAACACTCACGAACTACAGTTGAAAAAAATGTTTATATACAAATATACAATATACTTCAATATATAGATTTATTCGCGAAAATTTTGCGCTTTAAGCTTCGATAACTCATCCAAATCGCTGTAGAGCTTCTCTTTTCGGATCTCTAGCAATAAATCTTGTCTGGAAATAGATATACATTGAGAAACTTGGGCACAGGAATATTGTGATTCACAAACCTCTCGTCATACGAGCCAATACCAATCTCTTCTAAATCACCGTCAGTGATATCAACAAGAACGCGCCCTAGAATGACAACTTGATTACGAGCACATCGGAAAGTTCAACCAAACTGATACGTCTTCGATGCTGATAATTGGAATCTTTCAGGGCAATATGCGCTTTCTTTGATTCATTTTCAATGAGATATTATGCAGTCTTAGTACTCACTAGAGAAAGCAAAATCACAGACGACAACAAAGAAAGAGATGAACGAGTATACGGTATGCTATTGAAAATTCAGTGTTCACTTCCGCATTGTGAAAAATTATTTATTTATTCATTTGTGCTTGAACACGCCATAAAATTAGAAGCTAGCATGAAGTTAAAAATTTCCAACAAACTATCAAAAATATCAGTAACAAAACCAGTGATAAATCAGCGACCTGAGGTTGAGTTCACTAGCCTATCTGCGATCTACAAGAAGAGACGTATGAGCTTGCAAGCCAAGCGGTTCGCAGTACTTTAAGAAATGGTGGAATGTAAAGGGGATTTCAGCACTAGTTTTAAAACGGTCTCAGGCTTTAACGAGGGCATAAGTTTAAAGTAACGATCAACCATTACCATCACACGAGAAGAGGATTTTGTAGATACTGAACACGCCATACCCAGACTTGAACAACAACACAGACCTGCATCAGTCGGCTATGATGCCCGCTCGCCACTAGGGA